AACTATTAGAAGAAATTTCTTTAAGATTGTCTCATGGTCATTAACATCTGAAACCAAATCTTGAGGAAGTATAAGATATTTTTTCCTTTCAAAGTAAATATGCATCTAAAGTCAATAGTTAGGAAGTGCACATTGACACCTAGTGGTTTCTGGCTTTGCAATCCTGTGAGAAAGTGAGATGGAAAGGTAATGAAACTCATGTAGCCCTTCATTTAGGACACACTGTAACAACCTTAATTCCGAGGTCACTGCCATTTTTTCCAGTCTCCTGGTTTAGAGGGTAGTTATCTATAATGAAATGTCCAGGGTGTGATTCAATAAACCTATTCTGGCATTAATTCTGTCTCCATTATGTTTTTACACACACATATTTCCTTTTTCTTGATTGCTTCTCTGTCTCTATATTAGCCCTTTATCAGGAATGATTTTTTTTTTTTTTTGCTCTTTACTTATTGAAGTGCTAGGGATCAAACCCAGGGCCTTGTCTATACTACCACAGAGCTATACCCCCAGCCACTTCCCCCAACTATAACTGATCAAATCAAGCCCAGCTGTTCAGAAATGGGTAGATTATTTCATATTTGAGCAAATAAGGCTTTTCTGTGGGGTGTACACCAATAATCAAAATTAATATCCAATGTGCTGGAGGGTGAGGTAGAAGCATGGCCAGAAAAATAAAAATAGCGAAGTTGTCTAGGCAGTGAAAATGGCCTGTGTTGTATACTCTCAAGCAAGTTCTGGGCAGGAAGATTGCTACTCGATTCTACCCATGGCAATAATAATCTAGGTGACTTTATTCAGCCTTTTAGGATGCAGATTTTCTCATCTACAAAAATGTAGGCAATTGGATTATATGTCTTTGGACTGAAATCTAATATACTATGATGTTTCTGAATTGAATTGTCAATTGATTGAAAAATAAACAGTAATAGAAATGAGTGTTCATGCTCTAGATGTTGGTTTTGGAGTGATTGACTAGAAATGATGTTTGCACTTAGAGACACACAGAGTGGGCAAATCTAAGTGATAAATATTTCCGTAGGAATGTGTTCTGCAAGTACCACAACTTCAGTATATCTAAAACTGAATTCATTTTTCCTGCAAAATATCTTGGTAAATGGCATTACTACCTCTTGCCACTCAAGGCAAACATTTGGGGTGGGCCATGTTTGTTCTCCCCATATACCTGTATCCACTAGATACATAAGCTCTAACTTGTTTATCGTTTCTCTAAGCCTTCATTTTCTCAATTGACGCTACACTGTTTAGTTGACACAGCCATAAACTGTCTTAACCAGACTCCTTGACTGAATTCTGTCTGCCATTTCTTTCTGTGATGCACAAACTCGATCATACTTTGCTGTTAGTCTTAAATAATAACATTGTAGCACAGCAATCAAGAGCTTCCCTGAAGTGGTCCTTGATCTCTTCAATTTTGCCTTCTACTACTTTTTTTTCCCTGCTCTACATTTCAGTGATACTAAACTGTAGTATATTGGTCATATTACCGTCTCATGTTTGCTTCTGTTCTGCCTTGGATTGCCCTCCCCTGCTTTGCTAATTCCTGTTCTTCCTGCAAAACCAAGTTCACTGTACTGTCCTTGCTGTTTTCTTGCCTCTTTCTGCCTTGTGGCTCAGTCCTTTGTACAGCCATTGCATCATATAGATGTCTCTTTTCTAACACTTTTCACAATTCTCTGATCATTTGCTTCGGTATGTTTGGTTGACAATGAACTCATCAGGAGAGCCTCTTGTCTGTATGTTTGGAATGAATGTCTAAGTAGAAGTTCCTGAGAACTGGTTGACTTTATTACTGGCTTGTTGTACAGATTCTTTTTTTAGCTTTCTTAGTGTGTTTATTAACATTATTAAAATGAAGATTACATTTTTTTAATTAACAGTGAAGTTTTTGACTTTTAATGTTACTGAAAATAAAGAATGTGGCCTAGCTGAAATGAACCTGAATATAGTATGAATGGAACCTGAAAAGAACATGCTACTGTAATGGAACCAGGATATTCACTTAATGTGTAGCTTTGGGTTGACCATATGACCTGCAGAAAAACACATATAGGGCCTTTTATTTCATTTTGGACTTTAAAAGAAAAGAATTATCCTTTGGAAATGAATCAAAGTCTTTTTTCAGCAGATTGCCATGGTGGGAAATACTGCTTACTTATAGTTCTGTTGCAGTCCATCTTCAGTCAGTACTTCTGTTGTCTTTGCTTTGAAAAGTTAAGGTTTGTTTTAAATACTACACTACATTTTCTATAAAAAAAAACAACACAATATTCACTAATGAAAAGTGTAATATAGAGAAGGTCATTAGTTCAGAACTTTGAGCTTAGAAAATTTGATTGTCTTCTCCAAAGCAATTGAATATCTCAAATAACTATTTTAGCACGTATCTTTAAAGAAGAAGAAGTACAGGTTCAAAATTGTGTTTTTCTTGAAAGTATTATTGATGTATTAGTAGTTGTATTAAAATTTATTAATCTTAAAATATGCTTTCATAGTTACAAACTTTTGGTGTATATTTTAGAGATGAATTCATAATGATGAAATTTATAGTGTACATTTCTAATATATTTTAGAGTTCTTTTTCTGAATTTTTTTCTCTGGTTTTATAATTCTGTCCTTTAAAGAAACTACTATTATAGTAAAAGGCACAAAACAAGATTTGGGATAATTAGCCTCTTAATGCTAGTTACTTCAATAACTTCTTCTGCTCTGACCTACTAGTTTGTTAGTAAAATGAAGAATAATAAAAAAAAAAGGACTCATTTTTCTCAATTGAAATGCCAACACTAATAGTTTAACATGCTTAATAGCTTTTCTTTTCATTGCTGCATAAAATTAATTTGTTACAATAGACATGTGAAAGTAACACTAGCATTGATGATATTTCTTTTATAAGAATATAAGGTCTTTGTAATATTTTCAACTGTATGAAAAATATTTCATAAAATATCTGCTGACCAAATTGTTTCATAATTTTTTCAAACTGAATCTAAAATGATCAAATGCTTGAGAATAAAAATTATAATAGTCAATTTTTTTCCAAAACCTCATAGCTCAGCACCAGTGGCTCATACCTGTAATCCTAGTTACTTGGGAGGCTGAGATCAGGAGGATTGAGGGTTGAGGCAAGCCTGAATAAATGGTTTTTGAGACTATCTCAACCAGAACAGAATGGACTGGAGATGTGGCCTACTTTGCAGGCACGAAGCCCTGATGCCCTGAGTTCAAACTCTAGCCTTACTAAAAACAAAACTAAATCTTTATTCATATAATAATCTATGTTTTGGTTTTTTAGACCAAATTTTTGTTTTCTTATTTATAAATGGTGTTCTTAAAACTATTATTTTCACATATACTTTGTTTTATGTAAATATAATTTTTATGAATATTATTCACATTTGAGTATTTGAGACAATTACAAAATCTTTAACCCAAAAAGTTACTAGTATTTGTGTATTTTGTTGATTTGTTGTACAAGTTTTTCCATTCAAGATGTTTAACAAATTAGTTGGAAAGTGTATAGTGTATTACCAATAGGATGTCTCCACTAAAAGAGCCACACTCTGTTTTGTTACTAATTTTGCGTAAATTCAATATAGACAAGTGATTTTGTAAGTCCATTATTATTACCTAATGAAGAATTAACATTTATAGCTCTATTTTTAAAACAGTTGTGGCACTGGGGATTAAGCCCAAGGCTTCTTATATGGTAAGAATGTGATCTACCACTGAGCTACATCCCAGACACCATGGCCCTAAGTTTTAAAATGGGTCCTCAGAGAATGGATAAAAGAGGAGGGTGCTTACCACCTCCATATGTCATTGCCTAGCCAAGAGAACAATTTTAGGATGGTTGACATTTCTATTCTATTAGATATCTTCATTTTGTCCATGAATTTTAAGTCATTTATAATTACTGCTTGTGTTAAAATACATTATTCCTGATACACAGTTATCAAGCCTGTATAAAGTTATGAAGCATTTAACTCTTGATTAGGGGCATTTCAAGTCAGATTGGCCACCCTACTTTTACATATTAAAACTGGATTTGATATATAGTAACTAAAACAAAGATTCTTTAGAAAAGCTAGCTTTTATATTAGGTTGATTTTATAAGTTTTTCTAGATGCCATATACCTTTTCCAATGTCACAATAACTTATAATTAACATTTTTTAGGAGTCATGAACTTTAAAACAATTACAGCTATTTTTTAAAGCTGTACATATGAAGGCTTTTAAGAGACTATATCCTTTAAGATTATAAGTTTTTTTGTTTTTTCCCCTGCGATTCTACTCCATCCAGAGTAAGTTCATTGTAATATCGAAGTGGTGCCATCTTACTGAATTTCACAGTAGTTTTTGTATCATTTTTTTTGGTCCTATGATAGCAAATACTGGTTCATATTATACGTCTGAACATATAACTTGCTTTTTCTTTTTTTGCATTACTGGGATTTGAACTCAGGGCTTCACACTTGCTAGGCAGGTCGTCTACCTTTTTAACCATGCCCTGGCCCTTGCTTTTACTTTTTAAAAGAATAATTCTTTCTTTAAAATTGTTTTCTATCTTGTTATGATTTTTATCTTAAATTATACTTAGCAAAGAGAGCATTTCTTAAGTTCTCTTGGTCTTACTGTTTTTTGGGAAGTAAATACTTGTTTTTTGTTTTTTTCCCATTGCTGGCCATCAAACCCAGGGCCTACCACATGCTATTGCAAGCATTTTACCACTGAGCCACATTCTCAACCTGAAATACATGTCTTTGTTCATGTATTTAGCACATTTATTGAATATGCTGTTTATTCTCATGCATTTTATTTTTACCTTGAAGTATTTTCAGAAGTCATTCACTATTACAGTATAAAATATACATTTGTTTAGATATACATTGTGACCATTTTAAGCATGGGAAAAAAACCTAACTCATATTTTACTATTGTAAGTATAATATAAAATAATATTTATTTTGTTTTTAAGATTAAAAAATGAATCTACCACTAAGGAACAAGAACCCGTGTGTAAGGTAAATTTGTTTTATCTCATGACTTTATAGCTTACACATTTGAAAGTATTGTTGGTATGACTTTTAAAAATATCAAAGTGCATATGTCCTTAACAATGTCATGGGGAAGAAAAAAAAAATTGAGATTTTTAAATCTTCCTCAGATACAAAAATACCCAATTTTAAATAAAATTGCAAGTGTTTTTCTTCTGACACAGGCATATGTTTCATTTACCTATTATTTAACTAATGGGGATAAACTTATAAATTAAAAATCATTAAGTCAGTAAAATCTCAAACATTTGGCATATTGGAAAGTAAGTATTTCCAGGTGATATAATAATCCTGGGACATTTAAACTGTCAAGTTTGTTGCTAAATTTTAAGATAGAAATGTTTTGAATGTATGTTAGATATGTGTTCAGTTATCTTAAACAGGTATTCTGAATATCAATGTTACTTACTAGTTACTAGACTGATAGAACAGTATAGAAATAGTTTTACTCTAGCACTTACTTTCTTGAAGGCTATTTAAAAGGGTTTTATCTACCAGTAAATTTCTCTAATGGATGTAGGATCTTAAAAGTCTGTTTTATCTTCAGAGGATTTTGGTAGTTTATGGTTTTAAGGAATTGGTACATCTTTATCTAAGATGTTAAATGCTCTACTCTTATTTGATACTGCTTGTAGTGTACCTTCGTAATCCTTTTAATGCCCAAGGGATCTGCAGTGACATTGTCTGTCAACCCTGATATTGAAAGCTTGTGTTCTTTATTTCCCTATTGTCGTGTGCTTTATTTTTTACTTATGATATAAAGACAGAGAATGCAATGTTACATTTTTTGCTTTAGACAGACAGTTATATTTTAGAGGTATTGAAAACTTAAAAATTAATTTTATATTTTTCTTTATTTTTGCCATTTTCATTGCTTGATGTAGCTCTTTTTTATTCTTTATTATGTTGTTGTACTGGGGGTACATTGTGATATTTACAGAAGTTCTTATAATATATCATAGTTGAATTCGCTCCCTCCACCATTCTCCCTTATCTCTGTCCCTCCACACATTCTTACATAGCTCTTTACATCTCTTTTACTTGAAGAACTTTCTATTTCATGTTACAGATCTGCTGGTAATTATGTCTTCCAAGGCTTCTTGTTTTTTTTAAAAAACCTCATTTTTGGGAGTTTTTGTTTTGGTGGGTATGGAATTGTGGGTTGACAGTTTTATTTTTGTTTTTTTCTTTCAAACAGTTTAAAGAATTTTGTTGTCTCTTGGCTTACATATTTTCTGACATGATATATTGCTATAATTATTATCTTTGTTTCTCTAAATGTAATGTATTGTTTTTCCTTGTATTGTATTATTGTTGTCCTTGAGATTTTATCTTCAGTTGTTAACTGTTTGAATATGATGTGTGTTTTATTCATTTGTTTACATAGATATGTTTTATCTATTTGTGTTTTTAATTGTTTCTGGCATGTATCCTACTTATATTTTCTGAACTTCCCTCCTCTCCTCCTTCTGGAGTCCTAATTGCACACACATTAGGCCATTTGGCATTAGCTCCTGGTCTTAATTGCCCTGTTTTGGTTTCTACTCTCTAATCCCCTCCTTTTTAAAATTTGTGTTTCAGTTTGGATGCTTTCTGTCTATTGACCTATCTATGTTTTCACTGTTCATTTTTTAGGTGGCTGGGTATATGAATTTTTAAAAATTCTAGCATTTGAATTGATTCTTACAGTTTTGAACTAAAATTTCCATTCTGTTCATGCATGTTATCTCTTTTTTTTTTTTAACCAGAGCATTTAACATATTGTAGTAATTTAAAATGTTCTGCCAGATAGTTCCAGTACCTGGGTTATGTCTGAGACTGGTTATTTGTCTCCTGACAGTACATTTTTTTCACCTTGCCTTTCCTCAAGGTGTATATTTGGTTGAAAGTCAGACATTATGTGTAGGACCGAGGTAAATAACAAGTATATCTGAAAATACACCTTTTCTGATATTAGGCTATCAGTGTGGAGTTTGGGACCATCTAGTAAGGAGTTGACCTGGATTTTGGTTTTCTCATTATGATTACCTCAAAGGCACTATACGACTCATCCGTTTAATAATTCCTTGTGTTGAGTGTGGTAGTTACATTGTTGAAGAATCTTTTCTCAATGTCCTTACTCCATTCTTAACCTCAGCTTTCCCTATAATTACACTTGGATTTCTCCCTAAAGGGCTGCCGTTACTTATTAGTTTGTTTGGTAGCCTGTTGGTGAGTGTCAGGGGTTAGGATGAGGCTCTCTCTTGTGATGTGGCCTCACTCTTAAACTGACTGTTTTCCTGGATCTTGACGGTAGGATTTTATTTCCCCCTGCCAGTCCCTACACTTTGAGAACAGCAGGGTTAGCTTCTCTCCTTTCCAAGTGTGTAAAGGTAGGAATGTAAAGAAAGCTTAGGAATCCAGTATTTCATAGAACCACTCCTTGATTCTTTCCTGATAACATTCATACCTGACTAGAATAAATTATCACACTCTTTATATGATTGCCCTGCTCATATGTGTCAAGTGAAACCAGCGTTTTCATACATAAACCAAATTTCTTTAATTTGTTTTTTTTTGTTTAAAAAAACCCAAAAACCTTAAGCTAAAAATTTAGCAGACCATAGCAGAGTTAAAGGAAGCCAGATGGAACAATCTTAGGCTAGATTTTTTTTACATGTATATATAATGTGAATAGTCTCTTGAATAGTTCCAGGTGTTTATATGACGTGCACATGTAATATGGTGAATAGCTTGAATTGATCTTCAAGACTGATCAGATATATTGTAATGGAATCAGTATTGTCATGTCCCCTTAATGTTTTCCTCTTGCCACTCCTCTAATTTGTATACATGTTTACATTTCCTCTTTGTTTTATTTTTTTAGCATGTTATTGTTGTATTGGGAGTACGTTGTGATATTTACAAAAGTGCTTACAATGTATCTTAGATTCACCCCCTTTATCTTTGTCCTTTATGCCCCCTCCTCCCCTTCTTAGAACAGTTTCAACTGATCTCTGTTCCATCTTCATACAAGAATACATAGTACTTCCACTATATTCACCTTCCTTCACCTTTTCCTTATGCCATCCCCCCTCCCACTGGTAGCAACTCCTAGAAAGAACTTGTTTTACCTTCCTGTCTTTCATTTTTTTAAAAAGACATTTTTGTTTGCTTATGATGTTATAACAGGGGGTTTCATTGTGATATTTCCATATATATATGTGTATTGTAGCCCTAATTGGTTCATCTTCTCCATTATTCTCCTTTGTACCTTAGTCTCTTTCTTATGGTGATTTCAGCAGGTTTGAATGTTCCATATTCATACTTGTATAGAAAGTATATCAACCATATTCACCTTCTTTACTTTCCTCAAAATTCCTTCTTGTATACTAGGTTGTCTGTTCTGCTGCTGTATGTGTTCTATACTGCCACATTGTACAGCTTTTGTTTCCTGTGTGTATACCGTGACTTCCCCTCCAATGTGATGGTTAGTGTAGTTTGATAATAACTAAGTAGGATAAGAGAGAGGAGGAAGGAGAGGTCCACATGCCTTTCTCCTTCTCAGTGCCCACCTTAGCTACTAGGGAACACTTGATAGCAAGTTCTAGGAATTCTTTTATTGAGAACAAATATTTAAAAAGCTCTTTTCCTTTAAAAGAGTTATAGCCCATTAAGATAAACAGCATGTCCCAAGCATATTACACAGAAGTGACACAGCAGTCTCTTCAGAATAACTTTATGAGGTTTCTCAAAACTCTCTTCTTTGTGTTTTTCTCAGAGTTCAAATGTAACATAAATATGCAGAATAGAGGGTTCCCTATTACTTCATTAGCAAAATGGCAAATCAGCTCTAGTTTCTACTCCTGTGAAGTCCACGGTGTTGTTCGTAAAGAGTTTCTACAAGGTCTTTATCTTTCATTTTGATCTTTTAGACTGTGTAAAATTACTTTATAAAAATCAAATTAACTAAAAGTTGATGCTAATATATTTATCATAAAAACGGTGGCTCAGCAGCCCCACTTTTTCTACCCATCTCTTTAGAGGCAGCCCTTTTCAACCCTGAGCTCTTTGTTGTAAGATTTACCTCTATGTTTCTAAGTAATGTAAGCATACTGTATTTTTGACACTATGGCTGCTATTATGGTAACTAGTAATTCACTCACTTAAACCAACATCCCTGCATTTCTTTTCCCTACCCCAACATTCCAGCCAGAGTTAAAATTAGAGTGAGGCAGGAGAGAACCTTATACCCCTGGCATGAAATTTAAGGGGTAGAGGATCTCTAGAAAATGTAATAATCAAGACGAATAGCATTTTGATTCAGTATTTTAAAATTTCAATCTAATGTGAAATAACCCATGCTGAATGCAATAGTAGGGTCCCACCGTGCTCTTTGTGGCCCTTAGTGTCATGCCCCATGGTCCTCGTTCAGACCAGAAGGAAGCTTACAGATTGTTCTCGTCATTTGTAGTTGCAATCTGTAATAGTGGCTAAGTAAAAGGGAAAGTTTAATTACAAATGTTTGTGTGCTGTTCAAAATATTCAGATCACTTAGTAAGTACACACAGGTAAATATTTAGGTAATTAATAAAAAAGTTATTAAAGTAATTGACCTGTCACAAATGTAGCTTGATCAAAATGTCAAATAATTTCTGAAGAACTATTCATTTCTACTAGGAATCTTTATATCTTCTTTACTTAGAACAGTGATTGTGAAGCCAGACCCAGTGGCTTGTGTGTATTATCCCAGTTTGGGAGGCTGAGGCAGGAGGACACTTTGAGCCCAGGAGGTGGAGACCAGTCTGGGCAACATAGCAGGACCCTGTGTCTTAAAAACAAAACCATCCCAGCTACTGTGGAGGAGGAGACAGGAGAACCACAGTTTGAGGCCATCCCAGGCAAAAAGGGAGACCCCATCTCAACAAATAAGCTGGGTATGGTGGGTGCATATCATAATCCTAGCTACTAGGGAAGCAAAAGTAGGAGAATCATGTCAAAGGTGGCCCAGGCAAAACCACAAGCCCCAGGAATGGATGTAGTGGCTCACACCTATAATCCTAGTTACTTGGGTAGTGGAGATAGGAGGATTGTGGTATGAGGCTACCCTAGGCAAAAAAGTTACCAAGAACAAGTTATTTGTGGTGGTGCATGCCTGTGCATGCCTGTAATTCCCTGCTACACAGGAGGTGTGTGTAGGAGCATTGAGGTCTGAAGTTGGTCCCTGGCAAAATAAGACCCTGTCTGAAAAATAACTAATGCAAGAGGGTTGGATTTGTGGCTCAAGAGGGAGAGCACTTTTCTAGCAGGCACAAAGCCCAAGTTCAAAACCCCAATACCAACAAAACAAAACAAAACACCCACCAGACCATATCTTAAAATAAACTAAAGCTTAAAGGGCTTGGGATGTGGCTCAAGTTGTACAGCTCTTGCTTATGCCATGAGGCCCTGAGTTCAAACTCCACTTATTTTTACTGCCTTTTTTCCTCATACTTATCTGGAAACCTAGTATATTACATCAGTCAAACTTTCTGTTGCTGTGACAAATACCTGAGGAAAATGAATTAAGGGAAGAAAGGCTTATTTTGGCTCAAGATTTCAGAGGTTTCATTCATTACTTTAGGTCCGAAGTGAAGAAGAGTATCAGGCTGGCAGGAGCACGGTGGAGCAAAGCATCTGGCTCATGGCGAGCAGGAGAGAGAGACAGGGGCCTGGGACAGAGGTCCTCCTTGGATACAATACCAGAACTTGACAAGTGGAAGTTTTGGTTTGCTTGTTACAATGTGGAATCTGACTAGACATCACTGAACTTTTTGTGTTTTGTGCAGCAAAATCTATTGTTGTGTTTTACATTTTGAGTGGATCTATTATCCGTGCGTGATTTTATAATATCACGCACTGCTCATTGGAGAAAATATTAGTTCCCTCAGTTACATAGCTCTTCAAGATGTTGACAGTTACATCATATGATATCATTAATATTAGCATTGATCTTTTCAGTGGTGGATATGGGCTTCCCCAAAGAATAATTGTTTGCTTGATTTTTTTATTGGCAACAAATACTATCAGGTACTTATGAGAGTTGTGAATTCACATGCCTCCTGAGGAGGTGGTTTGGATTCCTCAGGTGTCTGTGAGTGACACTGTGAGAGTGGCTGGTGTGAATTTGAATGTGAAGAGTGCTTCGTGGATTCCTTCCTATCCAGCCCACACACCGTGCTTGGGAATTGTTTAGACTTCAGTGTAGGAAAATCAGGTGCTGAACTGAGGGATACTTTGAAGAGATTAATGTCACCATCATTACAAGACTGATAATTTTCTCCAAAAAGAAATCTAAATTCTGAAGGTGATTGAGTAGGGAGTGAGTCCTCTGGCTGCTGGCCTGCTGGAAGCAAGGCAGGGAGAGGGACTGTGGACTCCTCTGTCCAGTGTTATGGAGTTTGCTAAGTCTCTTTTCTCTCAGTACCTTACACCTGCCTTTGCTGTTCCTGGTGTTACAAGTCTAGACTGTCTAGTTCAGACAGCTAACCTTTAGCCTCTGTGGAGGGGAAGGACTAGGCCCCTTTGTGCGTTGGATGAGGAGCGTGCTTCATTCTTACCTTTTGTGAGCTAGATACTCGACTGGGTTTCTCCAAATACAAAATATCTGAGGTTCTTTGGAGAGACTCTGTATTTGCTCCTCCCCATAAAACATTTGAAAGGCAGCTGTGCTCACCACTATACCACCAGTGCCACACCCCATAAAACATTTGAAATTAAGAAAAATATTTCTTCAGTTTGTGCATTGTTTCATAGTCTCAACAGTAGAATAATTATCATGACCCTGAAATATAAAATCAGACTGTCAAAATATTTTTTCTAAGTATCTATACTTAGTACATTTATATAAAATATTATGTATATTTTATACATATAAAAAGATATATATGTATCTTGTTATTCAAATTTAGGTTCTATTGGTTTTCTGTTCAAGTGATTATAATTATATTTGAAGGAGAGTTAAGGAAAATAGGTTTTGGTATGATGAAGTAAACGATTATTACCTTGATTTAGAAACTTTTGATATATTGAAATTCTTATGGATTTGAATAGTTTTTTAAATCTCTTTTATTTATTTTGGTGCTACTGAGGTTTGAACTCAGGGCCTTGTGCTTGCTAGGCAAGTACTCTAAGCCACAACCCAGATTTTTTGTTTGTTTGTTTTGTTTGTTTGCTGTTAGATTGACTTGAGCTTTTTACCTGGGGCAGCCTTGGACTGTGCTTCTCCTAACTCTACCTCCTAAGTAGCTGGGATTACAAATATGTACCACCACTCCCAGATTGTTTATTGAGATTGGGTCTGATTAACTTTTGCCTGGGCTGACCTCAAACTGTGATCCTCTGTCTCTACCTCCCAAGTTAGCTGGGATTACAGATAGGAGCCACATTGCCCAGCCCTGTAGCTTAATGTTAACTGAGAGCTATTCTGATCCACACTTTAGATTAAAAAGTTGCTTTTCTATCTTTTTGGTATATTTAGTTGTACATCTAAGTTCCTTTTATACAGAACATTTAGTATGGTAAAAATACTTTTAAGTTTAACCATATTGTAAACTTATCATTGATCATTTCAGGAAATTGCAAGACATAATATGACTGAAGGAGAAACAAAAACACCAAGTTCTGAAAGGTAAATAAAGGAAAAACTGAATCTCCTCAATTTCATGAATATAAAACAACACTTGAGTTTTGTTATTTCATAGTTAACTGACAAAAACAATTATTCAAATTTTAATATATAATATTAATTAAAAATTTAATTCAGAAAAAATATTCCAGATTTTTTGGTTTTTAAGTCTCTTAAACACATACAGTATTTTATAAATTGTGTACTTTTAATAAAAGTACTTACTTGTAAGTAAAATGTTAATATTTTATGAAATGCTGCCCACAAGTAACAAGGTTGGGACAATTACTGCAAACATGTAATCTTAAAATCTTTTTTGTAAAGTAAAATTTTCCAAAAGCTGTAAAGCTGGTTTCTGTGGTAGAATCTAAACATAAAGGTTTCAAAATTCAGGGATGGTTTTTAAAATTTTAATGCTTACGTAGGCCTCGAAAGGAGACAATACATTTCATAGTTCTTTTTAGCAAAAAAAAAACAGAGAATCTAGCTTTCTGATTTGAACTATATAATTTGAAGTGTAGATAATTTTGTTTATTCTTTCATTATGTAATGTTCCCATTTCTATTTTGTGCTATTTACTTGACAGTAGATTGCTTGTTAACCTGTTGACACAGTCTCTTACCCCTCCAAAATAAATTATTCATAAGGCCTTAGGAAAGTCTTTATTGCACTCATTGGTAAAATTACCCAGCTCTTTCTAGCATTTTTCCTAGACTGCTGGGGTGGGAAGGAGTTAAGAAGACAGTTCAAACAGAGTTAAGAAAAGCAGATTAGTCATCTTTGGATCATTTCACATTTTCAGTAAATTGTTCTTCGTCCAATATGATCAGAACAAAGATATAAATTATACAAATTTGAAATGAGAAAAAGATATGATTTTTGTAAATGATGTAATTGACCAGTAAAGTCTCAGAAACTGAGCTGAAATTAATGAGTTTTAATTAAAGTAGTTTGATGTAAAAGTCAGAATCTTTATGAAAGACCAATAACATGGTCACACAATGTAATGAATAAAAAAATTCCTTCACAATAGCAATAAAAATGAAAAATGCACATTAAGAAAAGTGAAAATTTACTGAGATAGCTTTCACAATAGACCATTTTCCAAATTAATGTATTGATTTAACATTTAGTTGACAATCTTAATGAGATTTTCTTGGAAACTGACAAACTTAAAATAAAATTCCTATTTCTTCATTTATTGAGAGCTTGTTTGGAGTTCTGGCAGGAGAACACAGCTACTTGCATACTCTGAGCGAAACAACATCATCCTCTTTGACCAAGAGCTCTGTTTTTGGAGGGACACACATGGGATGTGAGGGAGTAAGGGGACACCTGCCTAGTCAGCCAGATCAGCCAAATCATTGGGATGATAGATGTCATAGCCAGATCCCCTCACGTCAGTATTTTTCATTTAATATCGTAATGTATTTGGTCATTTCTCTGTGTTAGATGTTGTTTGTGTATTAACTATCCTTAAACATTCTTAATGAGAATTGTACAAGTGCCATTTATATTTTTAAACTGAAATTTATGAATAGTAGAATGTAAGTGCTTTGTTCCACTACATAGTAAAGTATATTATTAATCTATTGTTCAGACTGTGATCTTCACCCAGGAATAGTCTAAAGACATAAATAGAACAAAATAAAATGCAAAAAAGATAGCCTAACATATATAATAATTTAGTAAATAATAAATTATCACTTTAACATATTGTTGGAATATTTGTGCAGTTATTGAGAAAGAGCCTAAAATCTAGGAAATTAAATGTAAGAACTAGGAATACATAATCATTTATTTTGGGTAAAATAAGCATCTTTAAATCTAGAAAAGGACTGGAAATCTTAGAAATCTTTTCCAACATTTTATGATTTGCTAAACATTCTTATTACTCCACCAGGGTCAGAACAAACAAACCTAAATATTTCTATATAGACATGTACAATAATGTGAATATGTTCTATATTTACATATTTTTTCAAACATGTTTATATTCTTTAAGTTAGACTATTAAAAAGTGAGGAAAATGTGAATGCTTATCTGATTTTAATAATGACATGGTACGAGTAAAAGTAGAGTTAGCCCACTTTATTCATAGATTTATTACACAGAGTTTTAACTAAGCACAGTCAAAATAAGTAGACAGAAATTTCAAAAACAAAAATTATTAATTCTCTTGCACATTATACGTCTCAGTGAATGTGGGTGAAGTTCTCAGTGATCCCACATTATTGTTTAAAATTTTCATGTGAGCTGTTTCCTGCCCCTAATTTGGTTAAAATATGCCTCCCAAAAAACAAGATCAAAGTGAAAGTGCTTAGTTGAAGTGGCAAAGTGAAAATTTTAGGTTTGATGAAGGGCGGTATGTCTTTAGTAGAAGTTGGGTGACATTGCATGAAAAGTGAATCAAGTATTTGCAATATTTGAGATAAAATGCATGAAGTAAGGTCTAGTTGTTGGTGAGCAGTGTTAATGTGCACAACAGTAATTTTTTGTGATAGCAGTGTAGCCTGCTGCACACATTTTCAACTTATGGATCCTCAGATCTACTGTATATACAGTGTAGGTAAGCTTGAGTAATTTTCGAGTCCTGAGCACTGTGCAATCTGGGCATATATGACTTTTCCTCAACTGCAGTGTTTTTGGAACCATAGATCTGTGGATACCGTGTGTGTGTGTGTGTGTGTGTGTGTGTGTGTGTGTGTGTGTGTGTGTGTTAGACCATAGTCTATATAGATAAAAGAAATTCCTTATTTTAGTTACTTTTACATGTCAATAAGAACACTTAAATTTTAAATGAAAACAGGTAATGATTTGAACAGATGAAAATAATGACAGCCAGTAGTGCAACCAGTTGATAGACCACACACACCACCTTCCCTCTCCATCCTCCCCTCCCACCCCCACAGGTCTCCTTTAATATGTGTTTCTCACCATCTTGCCTAAAAAACAATGGCCTCTTCCTAAATTACATCATCATACCAAGGACTGGGGGAGCCTGAATTTGTTTTCCCCTTTGGTGGACAAATATGCTTTGACACTTTATTTCTTAGAACATATCTTTATACTGATAGTGTTCAAATACATTGTTTTATGAAGAAATAGATAATAAATGGCTTTATTTTTCAGTAAACAAAACGAAGCTTCTTCAGAAGAAAAAAATGGATGTGATGCAAATTTATTTGAAGGTTCATCAGCAACAAAAAGTAAAGAAAACATAACAATTTCACATAATGAAAATGACACCTGTCCTGCAGACCAGGAAACTAGCTCAAAGAAAATCTTCAGTGATGATTCAAGTATTGGTACAGATAAAATGGAAAAGGAAAAACAAATAAAGCACATTTGTCAAGCAATGGAATTGAAGGGCCAAAGTTCAGCAGGTATAATTTTGGGTGATCAGATTAAAGATCACAACTCCAGTGAAACTAGGTTTTCTTTGAAGAATAATAATGATTTGCTATTGACATCAGATAAGGTTAGCGTTGATCAATTTTTGAGGAAAAGAGAGCCTGAATCTCTTAGTTCCGATGTTAGTGAGCAAGACAGAATTCTTTTGGAGCCTTTGACACCATCAGAAGTACTTGAGTATGAAGCCACAGAGATTCTTCAGAAAGGAAGTGGTGATCCTTCAGCCAAGACTGATGACGAAGTGTCTGATCAAACAGATGCCATTGCTGGAGAAATCAGTCCTCACACAATAGAGACAACAGTAGAGCTGGCAGATAAAGAAGTTGAAATTATTTCGTCATCCTAAGCTTTAGTATACCAACACAAAGAGCATTTGGATCAGTGTTGTCCAGTGAGCTCAGTAGTAATGGGGTAGAGTTCAGCAACAGAAAAATGTGAGGGAGGTCACTATACTTTACCCGTGTACTCAGGCTGTTACTAAACAAACCAGTTCAGTATGACTAGTATGGATTTCTAAGTGTTCCACAACATGAACAGAATTTTAATGAAGGCAGTTTGCCAACAAAAGGTTTTCATTTTGAAGAAATGGGACTTGGTTGCTGATAGGAGTTGATTTTAAGAATATTAGTTACACTGATAAAAGTTTTCCAACTTTCCTCAGTTCTAAGCTTAAAATCCTTATTACTTATATATTCTTTTCAGTTAACTTACAGGAAGAGATGTAGAAACCGTGAACCTTCTGGGAATAATTGCTTTAAAATAATGGCTGATTCATATCGTTACCAAATGAAGGCTTTGAGTATGATGCTGGTAAACCGAGCATGCTCAGGATGCTAAATTGATCTGATGAGAACTTGGGTGACCATAAAGTTAATTTTGACTTTAATGCAACATTCCAGTCTATCAGAAGCATGTAAGCTGAATATTTGAATCTGTGTACCTCCATACAGGTGTTAGCCTGCCAGGGTGTAAGCTTACCTTGAATTAAACTTTCAGTGAAAGTGGCTAAGTAAAATTAAATTTATATTTGTGCTTTTGGTCAGTATATAAACTGTGCAGAAATCCCTTGATGTACTAGTTATATAAAGTAGAAACCCATTGTTGAAATTGCAGTAGCTACTATGCTTTTAATATTGTTTTAACAATCTTAGGAATAGGCCCATAAAAATGGTTTGGAATCCAAACCAAAACATGGTAGAATGTAGATATTGTAAAGTAGTAAACTGAAAACATGTCCTGGCATGTATTCAGCTATGTTTAAATGACTTGACTTTAATTATAAAATAGAAAACTTCAAATAGAACCTAAAGCAGTCATGTAAAAAACTTAGTTTGGGGAATTTAGCCTAATATATCCGTAAGTTCACTGCTAAATTGATTTTTTCATTCTTTATCATCTAGAAGATAATAGATATAGAAATAATATGAAGAACAGTAGTTTGCTTTGAAGTACTAGTGAACTTTTATTTAAAATGCTCCATTTTTACTTTTTAAAATGTGCTTTGAATTCTTACATTTTGTTTCAATGAATGTTAAATGTTTTCAATGGCTATTAAAATTCTGCTGTATACAGTAGTTTTGAGTAAATATTTGCAATAAAAACCTGTTCTGAATAATTTTATTTTTCAAATTGCCTTTGGTGCTCTTAGAAATTGTATACTCATTTGAAGAAATTTCTTTTTGTAGTTGGATTTCATTCTGTAGGCTCTAACTGATAATTTATTTTAAATTAGAACAAGGGATAAATTAATACAAGGGGCAATATTGCTAATATGTACAGAGAATAGTTGCTTTATAAATTGCTTTACTTCAATAGAAGTACAATTTAATACTGTATTTTTTAAATCTTCACAACTTAAATAAGCAAAATATATAATTGTATTATTTTCCTAAATATTTGAGGGAGAACTAGTTTTTTCATCTTTCCTGCTTCCAAGGAAATATAGGAGACCCAGGACCTGTCATCTTTCACCTTGAACTATTCATCCATAGCAGGGAAGAATTTTTGGTATAATATAAGTCTTCTTTAGAAGATCATGAAATAGAACAAAACACTTTCTGAGTTTTATCCAATTTGTCACCAAGCCTGTCACCTTCTGTTACAAAACTCTAGAATACTGTGCCAAAATAAGCCTTTAAGTGACACCAAAATCCCTTTTGAGATTTAAGCAATTTCTACACTTCACCCCAAGATGCCTGTAGAGTAATGATATTCGTAACTGATCAATGAACTGTTTGTCTCTATCTACTGTAAGAAAAGAAACCTATACAATGAAATCCTTCATTGAGAAAGTCTGCAAATGGAAAAAAAAGAAGTTCAAATAAGCATTGTCCTTAGTAACACAATCTCCTTATCTCATCAGCAGCTAACAGTTCAAATACACAAATGAAATCTGTGAATAGTAGTAATGGGCAAACTTTACAAGACCAGATAGTAATTGTTGCAATTCCTATACTCTCCCTTGTCGCATGGAAGCAGCAGAGGGTAATCTATAAATAATGAGCCTGCTTTTGTTCCAGTAGGACTATTTACAAACAGGATCCATGACTACTGTTTGTCCATACCCTGCTTTAGAGGGCTAAAGATTCCTAATAAGGATATGAAAGCCAATGTTGCACTCTAGAGACTCTGCTTGAGAACATCCAGGAAGATGTTCTAGTTCCCAGTTAACTAACAATGGAATTATGGTTGATTCTAAGTGGATTTTAATGACATTAAGAAGCATTATTTTCATTTTGTGTACGAATACCTTTTTTACTTGTGTTATTTCTTCCCCTTTGCATCCCTTCAGTGTTTGAGGGAAGAAATTACGAGGTATTTTTACCCCAGTTTTTAAAAACATTTTTATTAGCATATATTGTACAGGAGGGTTTCATTGTCATATTTTCATACATGTTTATAATGTACCTTGGTTAGATTCATTCCCTACATCATTCTCCTTCACCTAAAATAATCTCAACAAGTTTCATAGTTCTATTTTCATATAAGCAAAGTACATCTTACCTTACTCCACTTTCTTCACCCTATTTACCCTTCTCCTTCCCACTAATACCCACTCCCTGATAGGACCTGTTTTTCATAACAGTCTTCATTTCTCAAATGTATATTCACTGTTCAAAGGGTTTTTACCATGGTATTTCACCCATGAATATTTCATACTTTAATCAATTAACACATTGTATTATCCTCCTTTACCTTCTTCCTACCCCTTATTAATCAACCACCTTCACTGTGTTTCTTTGTGCCATTCTCCTACACAGATGAAATGTAGACAGGATATGAGTTACTTTGTTTTGGCTATAAGTGAAAAGATGAGGAAAACAAATACCTAGACAATATTTGCCTGTTACAAAGCCAAGATAGGAAGTCAATTTGATATGCTTCTGGTTAGTGTTTTCCCACCACACCTACAATTCATAGCACATATGTCACTTTTTGCAAATTACTCGCCCATTGATGACTAATGGAAGTGTAATTTGTTATTGTACAGTGACTGTATGCATATGGATTTAAAGACAATATCAAGAAAGAGGGTCTAGTGATATTTTTTATTAGTAGGAATTGAGGACTTTTACCTGAAAAGAAGGTTAGTGGATCTTAATATTTAGAAAAGAAAGTGTGTGATTTGAAGATATGCTTTATATAATGATTATTGAATGTTATTACATTCTTGTGGCTTCTGTTAAATCATTTGTCTTCGTGGTTGATGTGATTATTTTTGTTCCAGCAAAATTATTACTCCAAGATCACTACTAAAATAGTGTTTTTCTGTGTATATAGGCACTAGAAAAGAATTACGGATGGTTCATTTTTATTAGATCATTACATATAGGACATTTTTATTCAACTAAGAAATGAAATAATTTACCTATTCCTAAGCTGTTATTTTTTTAAATGAGATACATCTGAAGATCTGTGTAAACAGAGTGAATGGTTGGATAGGTTTTTGAAAATATGAAACTTAATTTTCAGCCTAAAAGCTTCAAACTAGAAGATACTTCACTCACATAATTTTTTGTGGATTTAAACACATTGGTAATAAAAACCATAACATGATCAAGGGATAAAATATCCTGGATGAAGTTACTTTTAGAGTTAATAAAGGCTGACTTGTAATTGCTTGTTGAAAGTACTATAAAATCACCTTCATCATTTAAAAGAATATACTAATTGTAATTCAGTCTTCATGATGACATCGTATTTCATTGTTATGAAAATATGTGGGCAAAGCTGTAATGAGCCTGCAGCTGCCAGTATTAATGGCTTACATAGTTACTTAACACAAATTCCCTTAGATTTTGGTTCTGGAAAATACCCAGGTCTATCTGGGGTTAATCGACTCTTCCAAAAACAAAACAGAAAATTTGGCTGATTTATTTATGCACTTCACTTATTTCTTTTTCCTTTCTTTTTTTTTTTTTTTTTTTTTGCTAAATACAAAAGTAAATAATGCCCTTTGTAGAGAATTTGAGAGCTACAAAATATAGTATGGCTTTCAACTTTTAAAATAATTTTTACTGCTGCCTTAACATATTTTAATTGCTCTATGCTAAGGGCTAACAAACTATAACAGATCCATGAGTGGCCATCTATTTTTATAAGCAAAATTGTATTGAACAGCCATACCATTTGTTTATGTATTGTCTATAGTATTTTGTTTACACGTTGTGTATTTGTCTACATAATACAGTTGTGTGACAGAGACCATATGAACCATAGCCTAAAATATTTATAGTCTGGCCCTTTAAACAAAAGTTTTCCAATCTCTGCTGTATGTTTTTATATAAGTATGTCATACTTTTATAGTGATCTTACACTTTCACTATTATAAATATAGTGAAACGCTTAGTTAATAAGGGAAATATTAAATTTTCAAATTTAAAAAAAATCCTACTTACTTTATCAAATTAATATCTTTATAGAAAATATCCAAACAGTACATAAGCTCATAAGGTAAAAAGTAGAAATTCTTGAGCATGAACTTTAAGAATTGAGGAGTTATTCATCTATCATTTTTTTCAACTCTTGAAAATCAGTTTCTCTTTTTCTTTCCTAAACCTAGTATGATTTTCATCCATGCTGTTCACTAAATGTTTCTGTTATGTGACCATGTGACTAGTTTCTGGCTAGCAACTCTTTCCCTTTTAGCATGGTGACTAGCCACATGTAAAATAGTGATTGCTTCATCAGGCTGGGTTCCTGGGGTGCTCTCTGTTTAGATGAACATTTAAGGGAGAAGTAACCATTTTTGTTATCAGTTAGGAAGTTTTTGTTTTTGCAGCATCACCTAGCCTATCTTGACAAACATAGGTATTAATCCTGAAAGTAGAGTGCTGCTAAAAAAAAAAAATCAAAACTGTTACATTAGCTTATGTGACAGATGGTGAAGCTTCATATGGTGATCTACATTCTTTTGTGGTGAAAGACTTCATAAACTGTTGCCTATACTACTTATAAGACATAATATACTTAATCTTGTATCTATTGGATACAAGACTTTGGATAGCAGGATGTTAATATCATATTTTGGTTACTGTATTAGCTGCATTTGGCAAGATATTTTAAGAAAGAAATGAACTCAGATGAGAAATGGTAGGATTGCAGTTGGGAACAAAAGAGAATAGAAAAGGTCTAGAAATTCAGATATTTGCAGGGTTAGAAAAGGCAATAACTTCTCACCTCCAACTAGTAAACAGAAAAGGCCTTTACACAGCTTAATTAAGTCAATAACATAGCCATCACAGTAATTGTTAAAACTTTTAACTAGGTTAAAATGTAACCCACAGTGTTTCTGTGCAGGAATTCCTTCCAGCATTTCTTGGGAAAATTACGTATTTTCCAGATATTAAGGCAAATCAGCCAAGAAATTATTCAAACAGTACAACTGTCCTTTGAGATTAAAGCTTAGTAGTCAATTTAGAACTATTTTTATTTGAAGGAATCCATTGAAACCAAGCCCAAAAGCAAGAGCAGGAATGCTGACACATAGAGTTTAAGGGTAAGGTCAACTTTGCCAAGAACCAGAACAAGAGCACATAAAAGAGAAGCGATCACAGTCTTACTTGTAGCTGTTGCTGTGTTGTTAGTATCTGTCCATGCTCCTACCTGCTACTAATGGTGAGTTGCTCTTGAAAAGTTAATAAATATTATTAGCTTTCTGTACACAGTCTTCTTTATGCAAATCCTGTCGATGATGTTCTAAAAAATAACAATGTGGAAGCAAAAGTCCTTAAATTGGCAATTTTGACTTGTGATTCTGTGTAGTGCTGTTAACTGTGCTGAAAGATCCAAATGTTACACTATGCAGATACTATCAAATAAATTTGACACTTTCCAATATTTGATTATTTGCTAAAGGCTATACTGTTCTTTGCAAATACTTTAACAAGAAATGCAAAGAAAGAGGTGCGTGTTGTCAAGCAGTGCAAAAAGAGATCAGAAATTGTTCTCAACTCAGATCAAAATCA